GGGGGGGGCAAGGACGAACCAAGGCTGGCGAGTGTGGCCTGCAGGAGCCCCTGAGCTCCAGCGGGCTCTCTAGGCAGGCCGCAGGGCGAGAGACATACCCGTATCATATCAGTGGGGCCTAATCCCAGCTATGCGCGTCGCTCGCGGCGCGCCCGCCCCGCGGGGCCGTACTACAGCCCGTGGCGGGCGCCGCATAGCCCTGCGCACCACCGCGCGCCTCCCGCAGGAGGACGCCGTCGAGGGGCGTGGGCAGGAGGACCAGGATGCTGCCGCCGCATCTCTCGTTACGCAAGCCGCACGGCGAGGCGGGTGTCCGCGGCCACCTCGACCGGCTGGGTATAATCAATTCGAGAGCGCGTTCGAGAGAGGCCTCCGCCGCGGATGGCCGCATCGCTGCACTTCGCCGTCGACCGGGCGCCGGGCGCGGGCGGGGGTCCAGCCTGCCTGACGCACTTGAAAACAACATCGCGGTTGTTTCGTGACAAGGATGGCTTGATTCCAAGGAGAGTTATTGAAAGTAGTTAGTACATAGACCTTGACTGATTAACTATTCCAAACAAAACAATTCTATTTTATCCGAAAATAATTGAAAAATGTATGTTTGATTTTAGGCTGAAAGACCACATTATAAGATGCCATATATTGCTTTGATTCGGTTTCAAACTTGACATTTAAACTTGATTACACAAACTTAAAACTTGTGAAATGTCGCTACACAACACGGTGCATTCCTGTGGGAATTTTTTTGAAAATGAAATCCTAAGCCGAATATCTTTGTGTTTTACCAGTGGACGGCCTCGGCCTCTCGGTGGACCACGGCGACAGGCCGGTGTCACCGCCCGACGTGCGCAACCGAAGCGCCCGGGTCCCGGGTGGCCCGGGGGGGGGGGTCCACGCGGAGGATCAGGAGGACCACGATCAGGAGGACAGGCGCGCCGGACGCAGCGCACGGGGCACAAGCCTCCCGGACCCCGTCGCCATACGGACGGGGGAGAGGAACCCGGCGGGCCACAGAACCATGTTTCGACCGCAATTTGGTTAAGAAATGCACTCGGAATGGGTTGAGGCCGGGAGGGGGGGGGGCAAAGCAGAACGCGACAGAGGAACCAAAAGAGCGTGTAATAGAGAGAGAAGGGCAGAGAGAAATTGAGAAGAGAGCAGGAGTTGATCGAGAGAGAGAGACGGGAGGAAGGGGGAAGGGGGGCAGAGAGAGAGATACCACGGAGCGGGAAGGGGAGGGGGGCGGAGCGAAAGAGAAAGAAAGAGAACGAAGGAGAGGGAATGCGCGCCGGGTTCCGGCACCGCGCGCTCCCGCACTAGGCGCATTCCAGCAACGGACCAGAGCGCTGGCGGGGCCCGGCGGGGCGGGGG